GACACTCTGAAATGAACTATTGATCTGTTTGATGTGCTGTAGCTCAACTTTATTATTGTCAAACAGATTCTTTGATTTGCATGAATTCATCTGATTCATTTTAGGAAGTGGTTTCAGTTTTAATTAAGAAAAGGTAAATTACTACTTATGCCACACACATATGAAAAGCATACCGAAAGAAGTTTCGCAACTTTTTCGATTTCAAATGTATCTCTGATTTCCACTGATTCCACATTGTCCACTGATTTAACTAAAAATAATATTAACTTAGGCACTTCACAGTTGCCAATGACTATTTTGTTAACAGTCAGTTTACACTTACCGATATATTTGATGTTGCCAGCATGCAGTATTGCAGCAAGAATTTTGAAAATGGACCAAATTTCTGAGTCTTTAAACATCAGAACTTTCATGGAAGAACGGATCTCGACCAGATCGGCTGAATCATTCCGGCTTTCCACTCCCACAGCATCACCCTTCAACAGTCACTGATATGAGAAAGACAATTGCACTTTATGAGCCAGGAATTATCGAAATGACAAATGACATCAGAAAAGAATGAGCCAACCTGATTCAGGTAATAGTAATCGCTCGCGTCACTTAGGAACAGTTCTTGCTTCTCCGATGCAGTTAAACCGGCGAGGAGACAATAAAATATATGGTAATTTCGTTCATCTGATGCTTGTGAAACGACTCGCGACTTTTCCAGTAAATAATGCTCAAATCTCGCACCCTCAATTGCGCCGTTACTCGAGAAGTACAATTCGATATTACGTCCAAAACGTGACGAATTATCGTTCCGCGTCGTTTTCGCATTTCCAAACGCTATAAATCATTTTTGTCGAAGAATAAATTCAGTAAGCGTATGAAGTTGTCCCGAAAGCAAGGAGACCTCGGACTTGCATAAGGTTGAAGTAGCTTAACTATTTCTCGCTAAAAAGAAAATTAAGTAACCATCACAAACATTTAGAACACAGGAATAGATAAGCAGACAACTTCACTTTTCGGATCTGATAAAGAATAAAGAAAAAAGGACCTTTCTGCAAACTCCACCGGTATGAAATCTACCGGTCAAGCTGAATTCTGCTGGTAAGTGTTTTGTACACACATAATTGACACATTAGTTGCTAGGTTGAACTGACTAAATGTCCATCATCTTTATCTATTAATGAATTGTTTATAAACCTTCTATGATTGGATTTGCTTCCAAAACTTGCTGCTCAATCCAGGAATGCTGGCCAGATATGGTTGCTAGAAACTGAATAACTAATTTTGCAGATTCTGTTTTGCCTGAACCTGATTCGCCACTGAAATGAGTAGTGGTTAATAAAATAAATTTCATTCCAGAGTTTGAAGTAAATTCTTACTTCAAATATTGTTGATGTGTTGTACCTTCCGCTGCTACTAATTTAAACTGTTAAACACTTAGTGAAATAGTGCCTGATTAGCAAATTCAATTCAAATGGAATTAAAATATAAGCATTCAAATTGGTAATACAGTTCATTTAAATTTCTTTTGAATTCAAAGCCACACTCACTTTTAAGTTGAAAAACAGGCAGAAAGAAAGTTTAACTTAAACTAACCTAATAAAGACACACTGATCTCGATTACTTGATTTCATATTGCAGTAGGCAGAGTTGGCGATTGCGAAGATGTGGGGCGGGAGCTCACCAATTCGTCGATTACGATATAATCGAATTTGCTCTATTGAATAAATGGGCAAAGGAGTATTGGGATTTACGGCTATTAGCACAGAACCGACATACGTCTGTAAAATCAGTCTCGAAATAAATGGGTCAATTATTGCAGGTAGATTTTACATTTTAAAATATATTTTTAGACAAGAATAGTACAATTTCGAAAAGTTCTATCTGTCCTGTTAAACGAGTCATTTGTACATCCGCACAAATACTTTAACTTTAATATTTTTTCCGCACTTGTCGAGCACATCCCGTGTTCCCCGACCCCTTCGTATCAATAAGCTCCCCATTGTCTTTTCCTTCCCTGTTTGGTAGTATCTATTAAATCCTTTTTCAGCTTCATCGATATCCCACTCTTCATACTATTCTGCACTTTTTTAATCAAAACAATTAAATTTTTACTTTTATTTTCCATACCTTTTTCGTTCAGCCCTTCCAATTCTTATTCCTATCGCTCATCCATGCCAGGAATGGTTTCAATGGCTTATCATCAAATAAATGACCCATGTTTTTGCAAATTCTTCATATAACATTTTTTATCGTTTGGCAATTCTTGAATTTTTATTTTTGCATGGTCTTGGCGTAACGTCTTGTTCTACTAAGGTTTATTGTTATGGTTGAACGCAGGTATGCACAGTCTATCAGACTTTTAGATGAAAGGCCTAAGACTCTGTTCAGGTCTAAAAGTTTGTAAGACATCTTGAGGTAGGTAAATGCCAACGAATTACTCTTGATTTTCATATGTCATGTAATCCTTGCTTCTCAATAGTTTTGCGTTTAGCGCCTTCTGGTTAGATGGTTGGAATTCTAATTCAGAGCCGTCCCTTCCCTCCCATGTTTTCCGAGAAGTTATTGAATATTACCGGTATGTTAATAGTGATAATGTGCTGCTCATTAACATATCGAAACATTTAACTGATATTTCATTCCTTAATATTAACTTACGTAGATGAGTTTATTGTTGTAACGCACGAATAGATTTCGAAGCAGTGCGGCCTTGTGCAAATCGCTCAAACTGATCATATCTTCGACACCTTGCACTGAAGTTGCATGCATCATACGATAAGAACGGTCTATTGGCAGCCATTGTTCCTGAAAGTTATCAACCACTGAATCAACCGGACGGCTCAGAATGACTCTGCGATAGGATCTGGTAGAAATTTTTAATATAATTCAGTTGCAACAATGATAGCTAAAGTAGAAGAGAGGAGAGGCTTAGAGATGATCATTCATTTGTTCTTTTTGGATGATCAGAAAGAGACACTCATGAAACTTGTTTTCCTTTGGTATTAAATTAAACACTAACGGAGTGATAATTCTGTTGATAGAGACAGGACATAATTACCTGAGAGAAATCATCAATCACTCTAAATCTGCTATCCTCAACTTCTAGAACTCGTGCTCCAACTGCGCAAACGAGTCGACTTTTTCCGGTCGGTTCGAGCCATAAAAAGTCACCCTGCAAGAAGCTCAATGAACGATGCGGCTTTATACAGTATTAATTACTGTTAAGTAGAAAGTTCTCATATCACTGCTTTACCACTAATACAGGTAAAGAGCAGATGCCATACCTTACTGAACTGAGCCATCGGTTTAGATTAATGCATTTATCAGTGAATCCAGTAGGATTTTAAATTACTTAAAATCAGCTCTTTGTTTTGCTGATAAGCTCTTCTGAAAAATTACTGCAAAAAAGATATGCTCTTTCTCTTTGAACTAGACATCAATACGGCACGTAGCGTGATTATTTCACCTGCAGTGAAAATATGTCCTATTTCACCTTTATATTGACTCTAAACAATGCTTTAACACTAAAGAATATTTGCAAAATGTGTTTCCATATGACACCAATAATTCCTATTTACGAAGTAAATTTCAAGAAGGACATATTACAGTCAAGTTATGAAAAATTCATCTTAAAATTTTTATAAACTAAAACACTTGAGTTATTATAAAGAGCAAACTGGAAGGTAGATTGGTAAATAGCTGAGAGTTGCTAGATGTCTTGGAGTACATATTTCAGTAAATTTAATAGTGGACGGGAAGATACACGTTAACCCACATACATACACACCTAAATTTGTCATCATATGAATTATTTGGATTCAGAGACGATAGGAAAGTAGTTGGTAGGAGGGGAATTCCTTAAATGGGAACAGCAATACAATCCCTCCGTTTCGTATTGTCTTCTTGTGAAGAACTAATCAGTGCACAGCACAGCACAAACCGCCCGCTCACTGCTGTCATCCACCCATAACGCACTCTCGACATTCTTGTTTCTGAAGGTCAAATCCCATCTCATTCTCATTGAATAAATGGTCGCTTCGACAGTTGAGCGAATGATGAGTGTAACTCTTGAAGCATTGGCGGTGACATTTCCACTTGTTTTATCCACTCCTCTCTGAATATTCTATGTGCAGCACTCCGATGTTTTAGATAGCAGTAGCTTCAGATGACCTAACAGATCAGCATCATCAGAAGGAATGGGCATAGTGACACCACTGACTCACGTCCGTGCTTACTGGGAAGAGTTCCTTACAATTAGATCCGTGGTACAGTACTTAGCCATGACATTTCTTGGCTTTAGCCAATGAACATCTCAGCAAATCCTTCCCTTCGACTTCACTGGATATTCGAATGTTGCCGAGCATTTTTTCTTATCGAAACTACTTGGAGATTTCTAACGGATACAATCATTTTGGAGAGCTTTCTAACTAACAATTTCCGGTGATAATTGTTATCGTTGTGATGAAGTTATCAGTTCTCTTTGCATGGAGTCCAAAGAAAAGGAACGGTCTCCTGTTTTGTTTCATATATAATATGAAGCTAATATATTTTTCGGAATGCATTTTCAATACAATTCACTTACCTTTAAAAACGTTTTTAGTGTGCATAGAATGAATAGATAAAACTTCAACTGAAATGCCTTCAATCACATCAGAAACACACAATTATAGAAAATGTGCACTCCTTTGAACAAAAGAAATCAAAAGAAAAAAAAAAAAAAGAATAATTTAAAAGTGATATGAGGCACGTCACTCAAGATGAAACTATATAATATAAAATGAACTACTAAATCAACAAAAAGTTGTTGCTGTAAATTAAGCTCTTGGTTGTATGGAATAGACACGGCAACTAAGAACAAAAAAATTAGCAATCAGCAATACTTCAGTTCTCCTTCTGCAGGAACATTTGAGAGGAAGTACAGTATTACTATTCGGGAACAGAAGTCTGAATAAGCATGGAAAAGAAAGAGATTAAAAGGAATGCACTAGCGAGGAAATTAAGGGAGTGTTTATCTAAAAAACATCCGTAAGTGGTGAAGGATCACAGTGTTTCGTGAGACACGTTTTCGTTACTGCACTGCCGCAGTCATTTATACAGCAGCTCTCCGACCGCGTCTTCATGATCAGCTTGCGCTTATTCATCGGTGGTCCTATAATTTTTCAAGTTCGATTAATTTAAGTAGAGTTTAACAAAGTAACGAAGATTGTCAGTCGTTCAAAAATCCAACTTCGCTAATATATCAAGGCTGACGTGCCTTCGAAGCACCAACACTCTTCACCTTGATGCAGCATCTTCCATGCTCTTTACGATGGTTATGATCAGTTCAGAAGGAGGTAAATTATTGCTCACCGATATAACTGAGTAAAACGGGTAAAAATATGAGACCGTGTGCCGCTCCAATAAGTACAATGCCAAGAAACATACGGAAATAAAATACTTTGAAAATTTGGGAATGTGCAAATGCGAGTACCAATATCCCACCAAATTTTGTGAGTGTTATGCCGGAAAGAACCTGCAAATGATGAATAGTCATTTTTCGATTTTAAAGTAATTTATACCAATATTTTCAAAATCAGTTCTAAATCTTAGCAAAGGAACAGACTGATGATCCCATGCTTGCGAGAGAATGTCGTGCACGCATCAAGCGATCTCGATGAACGCTTAGCGCAAATGATCGAACAATATGTGAACAGAATTCCACCGATATTCCCACCGTCTGTAAAAGGCATACTTGAAAATTTTAATAAAAACTGAAAGTTTTAAGAGTCAATGATAAACAGTGAAAACTTTGAAACAATGAAAAACTGCTAAAAAGCTCACCATGACAAGGTTGACAACAGAAATAGCATTGAAATCAATATTCCACCAATACATGAGACCAATTAAATTGAACAGAACACAACTTATAGTAAGATCAATGATGAATGCTGACCATGGATCAAGGCCGAGAAGCACTGTTGTGACCGCAAATATGGCTACTAGAGAGAGTATCAGCTGGATACACGCATCCATCACTATCGTCATATACTGTTCATAGAAAACATAAAATACGCTGCAAAATAAAATTTAGCACAAATTACAAAGTTACCAAAGCATCTTAAATTTACCTACTCTCAATAATGCAAGATTTTATATTTAAATTCACTGAATTGCTCATAAAAAATCAACCGTATCACTTGCAACTTTAGTTTTTGAAAGTGAAGTAATCAAATGCTATGAAGTAGAAAAGGAGTACATTAACAATTTATCTACTCAAATAACTCAACTTCCATAGTCATAGCAGCACTTTCCCTTCCTTAATTTCCAAGATTGCAACTGGTAAGGCCACAAATCTCTTACTTTATCAGTGAATTCCTAATCAGTAAGTATGGTTTCCTCTGCTAGATAACTTGTGGGCTGCAAAATGACCTGTACGGAAATACTTCTATCGAACATCGACCATCTCTGTCTTTGTTCAGCATAGCTGTTATATTGGCAGCAATACGACGAGCACTATTCATGGCATTTATGAAGTCTGATGAAGTTTTCAAAACCGTATGATAGGTCATGAAATGCGATGATAAGATTCGGCCACGCCTAGACAACTTAACGGCCGAACCATATGCTGCATGACCTCTGCAAACAAAACATAGATTTCGAAAAGAAAAATAACTGTGAAAAAGTTTATGCAGTAGTTCTAGAAATATACGAGAAGACAGAACCGCATAGACATATTTTAGTTTCCCATTTTTCTGAGATTTTCAGCGATCCATCAGGACAATGTGTGACAGTTGATGAAGACCTTTTCATATGTATTTTTGTGTTGCTTAAAAAGTAAACGCAGAAAATTACCCTTTAGCACATTTGGTACTTGGATTATTCGAAAAGAAATGTGTAAGATGGTCGTAAAACAGATCTGAACGAGGCCTGCCATCAAAAAATTCCACATTGCAAGGAATGCAGCTTTCTGAATTCTCTGAAATTGTACTAGTTTGAAGTCTGAAATTCAAATTTTAATAGGAAACTATCGCTGTGTACAGATTGCCTGAAGTGTTTTGTAGCAGCGGTAAAACGTTAAAATAAATGTACTCGTGGTAATTGTGAATAATGGACACTGCGAATAATGGAATGTTACCGGTGGAAGAGCAAAATGTTCCATTGGGGAACATCCGACAACATGGTGGATTACCGAACGGTTGTAACCAATCAAAGTAATCATCGAGCCAGTTCATTGCCGGATAAGCTATGTACGACCTAAAACGGCAAAACTATTCAGCCAACAGCCTAAATCAGTGAAACTACCAGATTTTAAATGTTGCTGATGTTTTAACCAATAATCACTCTAAGTGTTGAAATCTATCACTCAATCCTAAGCTCCTCAGTGTCCTACCAACTATCCTTGTCAATGCAAAAAATAATCTATGAGTTGTTTTGGAACAGGTATCTTATGTAAAAGATGAGACTTGCTATTTTAGCTCGTACCGACTTTCAGTCAACACCACTGAAAGAATTAGTTTAAAAGCCTTCACTAATGACTGATCTACAAACTGAATACACAAATTATTGCACCTATTTGACCATCGTGCAGCATGGGCAATTTGAGCACCCAATGAATCAGTGGCACAACCGGCACCGGAGCAAATTTTATTATGTTCATAAGAGTCACTGAATTCCACATCACCTTTGATGACAAAATAAACTGGTGGACCGACTGAGAGGAATCGATCCATCGATTTGAAATAGGAAAAAACATAAGAGTCCTATAAAGGAATAATTTTAACGAATGAAAATGAGTGAAATGGTCTACACTTCATCCCATCCTGTTTGTGGGCTTACTTGAGATCTAAACCTACCATATGCATTCCAAGGAAAAGCAGTGAAACTTCTTTTTATGTGATAGTCATTCTTTCTTTTATTCAACACGAAAATGAATGAATTACTTCAATAGTTGATTTCAAAATTCCTGACATACCTGACGAAGTCAGAAGGAGAGTCCGTCAAGATAAGTAAGACTTATCATTAGTTCAATTACCTTTGGTAATGTCTTGCATTGCTACGGGATCGAATTAATCATGAATTTTGACTCTTGAAATAGATGGGAGAAGAATGAGCAACGAAACAAGACAAAGTAGAGAAAGATACGAAAGCATGAAGAATCAAAAAAAAAAAAAGAAAAATTTGTCAATCCAATACTAAATGGCCTATAAGACACATTACGAGCCTCATGTCTCGATCCTAGCATTCCACTTCCAAGAATCTAAGCATAAAAATGAGTAGAAGAGTTGGTGAAACACTATGTTCTGTCTATTATCATCTAAACAAAGAAATGAAATAGCACCTCGGGAACAGCCATCTTCTGATCAAAGCCAAGAGGGATGTTGCCCATCACTGCAAACGAGCTACTGAGCCAGCCAGCAAATAAAAATATCTAAAATTGGAATAAAAATGTTAAACTGCTTTAAAATGGAAAATGTTTCGCGTTTCCTTCGTTTGCAAAAACTTGGTTACAACTGACCCAGCTATGGATATTTGACAGCAATAATATTTCAGTGTGACTGTTATCTTAAAACATGCATAGAATTCATTGTCAGAAAATTTCAATGTTAAGTTATCCTCACCACAATAATTCGAACGTACTTCGACAATAAAAATGGTGCATAGTAATTATTGAATAAATATAACATATATCCGTCACTGTTAACGCTTTCTACGGTTGTTATCCGACGACAGCAACACACTTCTGGCCTGCCACTCTAAAAATTCGCAAGCCTCAATAATACTGGAAATGATAACAAATAGCGCTGAATGGTGGATACTGCAAGAGAAATTGCCAGCAACATTTCGATGTGATAGCTGCGGAGCGGACTGAAGGAGAGAACTAAGCGGGGACTATGACGGAAGACGTTGTCATGATAGGTGGAACAAAACTACCTCTTCGCGTCGTACGTCAACAATGAATATAGCGAGAAAACAGGTTATTTGTAGGAAAAAATTGAAAAATATTGCCAAAGCTGCATATAGCGAAAAGACCTAAACGAAAATATGTACATTGCAATAAGCAAGTTTCGGAACAAAATGTTTTCTAAAAAATTCAAGCCAAATTATTGCATAAAAAACCATCTGTACTGCTTTCTGGACATGGTTAACACTTATAAGGAGTGTTCCTCCATTTTTAACAGCAGCTGTTCCTAATACATGATGCATCGTCGTGGACAGAAATAAATCTTGAAAACGAAAGAAAGACTGAAACTACATCTTCCTGTGTTTTCCTCTGATCAACTAATGAACTGTTCGTCTGTTCCGGAGAGTAATTTCGAAAGTAATTTGAGGACTCTTTACCGAAGATCGTGAACTTCTTAAAAGGGTACCTTGACGGCAGGCATGGAGGACAGTGCCCCAACGAAGAAGCATAAGCATTCGGATAGCGAGGACAGAAGCATGGATGGTATCACTTCGCCACTTATATGTGAAATTCGCAGATGCAATGGCTCCGATAAAGGGTCCTCGGTTCGCTAAAAGGTTTAAAGACGGAGTTGAATTTTCACTAGAAGGAATGAAAATAAATAACGGTTGATTTAAAAGTTGAAGAAATTATTTCATCCATATAATATCATTGGGCTGTCATTAATAAAAATACAGTTTCACTTTACATTCCTGGATATCGGGTAGGGTACCAAGTGTTTATTTGTGAAGGGGAAGATGTTATAGTCCATATTCTTCTAATCTTCCTGTACCATCGATGACGTGATTGGGAATGAAGATAAGAAGCTGGCTATTTTTCCGTTTTTGCTTTCTTCATCCATTAAAATTGTTATTTTGATTTTTTTAAGGCGTAATATTATTTTTGTGAAAAAGAGTTTGATTATATGTTTGATTATATCACAGCCAAGTAAAGTCGTTCATTCTGATTTCAGTGAATGGAAGGAAAGAAAGGCAAGAAGACTGGTTCCATCCTAGTAAATAAGTGTTTTATGCCAAATATTACATTGCCTGTATATAAAGGAAATATTTCACAAACTCATTTTGATAGTCATTCCGGCTTGACAGAAACCGTTCACAGCAGTTTGCGTGCGCTGCGCTAACTGATGCACTATATGGAAAGGGGAAATATTGGATTAGGCTGGTGGATGGTGAATTTGAGTGGTACCTACCTGATATGCCTGCACAAAGATGAAAATGTTGTCGACGCCCACAGCGAGCACTAGAAATGGCTGTACTTCCAATACAATTGTCGTTGCGGGGATGCCATAGAACGCATACAAACCGATGGACGACGTCACTGATAAGGCAACAATCAAAACACCCGCAGCACCGAGCATTATCTTTGAGTGGACAAGCAACGTGGCCAAATTATTTCCAGTCACCTGTTGAAGTCTTGTCTCAGAAACAGAAGGAAGTATAAAATGGCCTGTCAACCCAAAATAAAAACAAACACTGCTCCTAGGCGGAAAGGTGGCATTGACGGACTGCGCACTAACCTGGTACTGTCCCAACGCGAATGCAACATAGGCGAACATGAAGATGTAGCTAATAAGTATAGTGAATACATCCGACTGGCTTTCTCTGTCTATTTCATCCTGCACAAAATATAATGTGTTCATTTCACTTCTTTCAATTCTTAGAGAACATAAAAAGAGTCAGTTAAGTGTGATCCCTATCTGAATGAGAAGACTGATGAAAATCCTTGAGAAAGAATTTATAAAGAAACACTGATAAAGCAAACCTGGATGGAGCGCTCGGCCATGAATGATATCGCATAGTTTTGATGTGAAATATTCCGAAGATAAAGGACAAATCTTAAGAAAAAAGTAGGGTGTAATTTAGATTCTTGTCATTCCAACTTATAAATTCTGCTTTGCTGCATTTTAGAAGTGAACAATTTTAATTTGATAAAAATGAAAGTACTAACATTTTTTCCCATGCAGCAGCGTACTTATTTTCCAGAGCAGTAATATGATTGTTAAGCAGAATAGTGATAACAATACCCCTTGCACTGTCCCACTTGCTACTACTGTTGAATTCACCCAGTACCACGTACGGTTGGATAGGTACACCAAACGCTGACAAGCACGGGATGCCGAGCCGAGTGATCGTCTGGTACGGGTTTCTAAATTAACGCAGCAGCTATTACTAAGTACAGAATTGACTCGGACTGAACTGAAAGCAGCACTAACTGGGCACACGTCATAATATGGTCCAAATAGTCGAACTGCGAACCACTCCAGTCATCCACGCTCGTCCGATTCAGAAGTGACACGTTGTTCTGCAAAAAACTGCTTTTCCTTGCAAGCATGCTAGCAGATTACTATTACTTTTTCGAACACATATATTCAGCGTAGAGCACTTCTCTACAGCTTTTCATTTGTGTTGTTTCTCAGACACTGTTCTAAGGCTCTACACTTTTATCAAAAATCTTAGATCTTTTACTTGGCCTATGAAGGTTCTCGTGAAGAATTTTTGATAATTCTTAAGTAAATATATGCTTTATAGTGGGCAAGAACGTATCTCTAGCATCTAGAACAGTTAGTAAATTTACAGTACACAAAATTACTCTAAGGATAGATTTTGGAAGAACTTTACGCTGAATTCTTTATAGTAACTGAAACAATGCGCCAATAATATTGGGTCAAATTGTCAAAGCTTTAGCTTATAAGACTACAAGTCAGAATTTTTTTAATAGAATAATATGCATGGGAAAACATTGACAAAAAGGACTGCAGCAAACTCAATAAAATTTTGATATGTTTATTACAGTTAATAGAAAAATTAATCCATCAGAATAAAAATACTGAAATGTAACCTGAAAATAATTAAGTACAGTCATGATAGCACAATTCTCATTATCAGGTGTCATCGGTTTATAACACACATCAGTGAGTGTCACCTGTGTGCCGTCATCTGTCACTGCTATCAAGTTTGTCACCGCTTCCTGTAGCTCTGCTACCTATAATAAAGTATGAATTATGACGTCACTAGTAAATATAATTTAATGCTGGAAATATTACTAAAAGGAATTAAGAAAGAACATCTTGAAGAAACGCTTTTCGTAGTGCTGGACCATAGAATCCAAGTTCGAACAAGTCCGACTGATTTTCATGTAACCAGAATGACTGATCTCGTGGGTACATGATTAACTGTTCCATGCGATAAAATGGCCTGCAACTTTTTCTAAAACAATAATTGATTTTTTGGAAGTGAAAACTGTGGTCTGGAAAAATTCAAAGAGAAACGAAATTCAAAGAAGTAAATAATTTTTTTACTGAACCTGAAAAAAAAGTAAGCATTCGTGAATATCTTCTTTTAAAAAAATGCACACATGATTTTAAAATGTGTTCTGTAGGAATGGAAACGATTTGAAAGTCTCTCTGCAGAGGGTAAAACATGATAAAGCAACCCGAATTCGCTATCGAAAAAGTATTTCTCGCCACGTGCTCTGCTAGTCCTAGATGACCAAAGCTCCACTGGATCGGTGGTGAAACGAACGAAAAGCATACCGCTTGAGCAAAGTACCGCAATAAGCGTGCCAAACGCAAACACTGCTAGTGGGTGCTTAACACATAGCTAAAGGAAATAGAGGTGAGTAATTCAATTTTTTTTCACATTTAAATGTATCTCCTATATACCCATTATTAAAATAGAAACTGCGAGTAACGTAGAAAAATGAATAGGAGAAACTTTCCCTAGCTTCATAATTTTGCAATGTTGACGGAGTTTGCCATTAATACCTGTCCGTAATGAGCGCAAACCAATTCAAGCTGTGACTCGATCCATGATCCTAACGTATCAATTGCGCCCAAGTCAGTATCATCTAAAGTTCCACCTGCTGGTTTAAAATCACTCAAATCGCCGCCATCTTGATTTCTTTTCAGGCTATGGTGCATCATTGCGAAAAACATCACTGCAAAACATAGTCCACCAAATCCAAAAAGTGATAAAATTAGCATGCAGTCAAAGGATGCGATCTGACATTCTTCCTGAAATGGACGAAACAGCGTTAACTCCAAGAAACAGAGTTAATAATGAAAATTTTAATCTTTACTGACAAAAATTTTAATCCCTCTGATGCATGAAACTTTCCCGAATATCGTTTGCTCTTTTACAGGGTTTAGACTTCACTAAAATTGCAAATGAAAAAGATTCAGAACTTTTACAGATATTGCAAAAGGAAGTAAACGAAAATTATGCCACGAAGAAATTTTGTGAGCAAAAAAAACTAACAGTTGAGGATAGAAACCGCTTAGAACTCTCTTTGACAGCTTGTATATTTCCGTGAAGAAAAAGCTAGCATTTCACTACTACCCATTTCACGTGAGAAGCATGGAAGAGCAGCAAGCAACCTTGCCGTGAGTTAGCGAATGGCATACGTCCTCCACAAGAAGCAGGACAAAAATACCCATGAAAGACGGAAAGGGTGCGTGTCATATGACGATGAATATACACGGAAGCAGTGCTCACCTGTACGATAAATGGGAAGGGTGATTCGGCGACGCAGGACTGAGAACAGTCCTGGCACGAACATGGAGAGCTATTAGGGTGAGCCGCTTCTGAACATAGAAGAACCCGAGTTGTAGGTGGCCTGATGTCGAGCACTGTGGCATTTAGAACGTTTAATTGGTCTTCGGGTAAGAAAGGAGTAGGAATGAAAGTGATATGAAAGGGTACGCCGATGTCTTCGTTGTAGGTACCCAAAAAAGTGAACCACCGGGATATATCACACTCGGTAATGCTCACACCGCACATGAAACTAAGTGCATAGTCTGTTCCAATTGCTCGAACCTATAAAGTCCTAATATACTACCAGTATCGAAAATAATAAAGATCAGAACAGAGAGTTGACGTAACCCTAACACAGCACTGGGCCTCACGCTGCATAATTTTGATTTACCTGGGAAAATTATGCGAAGTAGCTATGAAATAGCATCTTTCGTTTTCTTCAATTACTTAACAAATAATTTCATCAGTAATCACAAAGATTTTTCAAATTTCGAAAAAAGTTCCTTCAGATAAGTGCGAGAACGCTTTTTCTCGACAAGCCTACAGTGATAGTAATTGGCGAGATGAATAGGGAGTGTGGTAAGATGTGATAATTCTGCCGAATTCATACGTCTCTCTCACCTTTAATAAGCAGTGCAATAAAATTGCTTATCTATAACAGTCTTACAAAAAGCAATCGTAGTTGATTCCTTTTAAATTAGATACCATAAAAATTAACTAACATCTTTGCATGACTGAAATAATCCATCTGCATAACTATCTCGTACATAATAGGCAACTTCTGTCACATACTGCGTTTTGTTTTCCCTGTAAACCAGAAAAAGTGAACCGCCAACCGGTTCTGTTACAGTATCGGCAACTCAGTCTCAGAAATTGATTGCAAGTTGCAATAGAAGAAAAGCAAAACTGATTCGAGCAGAATTCAATTCTTTCATCTTCGCTTTTGGTAGAGAATCAGTTCTGCTTGCAAGTCACAGAACTTCTATCTTATGAGAAAGTAGCTTTTGAGTAAGAAGACATTTGGGTTGGCCACTTTCACTGAATGATGACCTCTTGACTGACATTTCCAGGCCTGTTTTTACAGTGGAAACAACGAACAACTTGTGACATACTTACACGAGATGCAAATCATCGGTAGATGCAATGACCCGCACAAAATTCGCCTGGTTTGGTGAGCACGTGAAATCACACCACAACTGTACAAAATTCGTTAAGCAACTTGGACATCTCGACAGAAACTGCCGTGGTAATGTCATCTGCGCATCCAACAATGCCACCTGCTTTTCATCACAGCAGAATTCTTCATTGCTTCCTGAAAATCTGTCCAGCGAGTTGATATTACTTACTTATTAGATATCTTACTGAACTTCTCCTCACTATCTTCACAGCCTGATCACGGAAAAATGAAAAATATAATTAGGTGCTAATGGCTTTTCTTCACTCACGTCGTCACGTTGGATTTTCTCAAACGCACTTCCCAGAACTGATACACAGCCGTAAATCAATCGACAATTTCAATTTATCATTGACACGACAACTATATACACTGCTTAGTTTATGTATTTCTTCTTTTTCCTTTGTATATTTGCTTCTCTTTTAACTTAAATAAACACAGCTCATGACCCCTCTTGACCCATTATGTGCTGTCAGTAGCACAGCACCGCCGTCAACAGTACTCACTGATTCACAAATTCACGACGACACTTTTAACGCTTATAACTCATTGATTCGCTTGCTGACAGTTTGAATCAGTCATTCCGTTCCACTTCCTTCGCGGTACATACTGAAAGCATCCACACGGATCAACTTCGCCTCGTGGATTCTCTTTGATTAGCATAAAAGAGAATCGAAAGAGTACAAGTAAGAAATGAATACGCAAAACATGTCACGGAAATGTCGCACTAACAGTTCATTGACAGACAAATACAGAAGGGTTCTCGAGAGAGATTTAAAAGAATAGGTGTCGAGAACAAACGGTAGCGGGAAAAGTTCTCTTCTAACTCCTTCTTTTTCTGATTAGCGGAAGAGCGGTGTCCCAGAAGGTCCTGGCATGTTTTAGCACTTCCTATAAAATAAGCCTCACCTACATCCTCGAGATATTCACAGCCATCACTACCATGATTTACTTACTCTATCATGATTTAATATTATGATTTACTACCACGATTTACTTTTTATATCACGTAATAGGCAAACAGTCATCATCTGTTTTAAACATAAGAGAACTTATTATTAATGATTATTATTAAGTAGAACTGTGCAGAAAAATGATATCACATCAGTACTTCAAATTTAGTCATTGGTTTTTCCAAAGAAATTTTGAGAAATCCATTTATTTTTAATGAAAAGCGAGTTTACTACGACATAGAAATATAACAATTATTTTGACATAGAAATCGATAGATGAATGTTTTGATGAAAAAATGTTACGAATAATTGAATACGAGAATTAATTAGTAAAAACAGGAAAGAAAGATTTGCTATTTGCATTGTAGCAATAAATGATCGGCTGATCGAAAAAGAGAGGTATAGTACATGATGAAAAAAGGAAAAATTTGCAGCTAAAAATTCAGCATTTCAATTCTTAGAGATAAGAGAATTCTAAAGAAATGGCATGTGAGTGCTGGACAATCGGTCGTAAACTGGTATGCTTCATTTGCCAGAATTTCGTTTTCAGTGTAACATTTAATTTAACTTTGTTATTTCCAGTTAAGCTCAGATTCTTAAAACTCTCTTTCTTAAAAATGGTCAGAGCTCAAATTCTTAAAAAGCATTCAAAAGAATAAGTTCATTGAACATTTTGCTTATTTTCGAAGAGGAATAGTATTATGAAGGCAATAAATTAAGGAAACGAAATTAATTTTTTTTTTTTCTGAAAAATTGAATTAAATTAAGGCGGCGTAAATTAAATTAAAGCAGTGGATACAATATAAAAAAATGGGAAAGAACTAAACAAAAAAATTTAATTAATTCGAATCCTCTACTGTCATTATGCAAAAAGATATATATGTTTTCCTTCGCTGCCCCTGTTTTCACCTCGAAGTAAACACTGCGGGGATGCTCAGCTCGTCGAAACAACAACCCGGTACCGCCACTTTCAATTCGATCATGACTCTCTCCTTCATTACTTAAAGCAGAAGACAAATAGGGGTATCACTTCCCTTACTGCTTCCACATTAATCTTTAGGTCCCTTAATAATATATTAATATCTATCGGGGTTTCTCTAGCACTTGCTAAATTATGCCGGTGATTAAATGTCTCTAAATTTCATTGAGCTCAATGTACCTAGTTAATAATAACCACAAAAAATTAAACCTTGAAACAGATGAGGGCATAGTGATGCCAATGTTTGCCGATGTTTTTCCACGGATATTCGCAAAGGTGGTCCATGATAAGGACACGTTTGATGCATGGCGCCACGGCGTCCGCATACTCCACGCATGGAGCATTCCCGCACCACTTTCGCGGTAGATGATAACACATCATTGCTAGCATGACTCACGTCACCACGTGAAACTTGAAAATAAGCTACAAAAGCAAACTCAACAGCAAGCAGTTGTCGCATATGCATGTAAGTTTTGGAGATTATGCAAATTATTTCTGGCAGCTTGAATTTAGAAAACTTTTATAAATTTGTCGCTGAAGCTGCAAAATCAAATATAGTGACAGAGTTCACCACTATGATGATTATTATTTAAGGAAAGGGAGAAGGAGAGAGAGACTGTGACATATGAGAGGTAATATCGAGCAAATGTGAATGGGATTTGCAGGAAGAAATTAGAAGCAAATTCATCGAATGATTTAGTGCTCCGGAATGAAACGGTCTTCTTATATTCCGCTTTTGTATAACAGTTGCGTGGAATAAAAGTCGTAGTAAAATAAGGAATATGTTTGATAAAATGGGCGTCTATTTTTTGTCATATGTGACAAATTATTCGAATATACGTGTGCTCCACGTTTCAATATCGAAATCGGTAGCAGCGATACGAAAGCTCTGCAACAAAACTAGTCACAATGCTTCTATGAGGGAACAAAATGGAAATGAAATCAGCGTGTCAAGGTGACATAATCGAACTGGATGAGAATGCCTAATTGACTGAATAACTTATGGATTGAAAGGCTGTAGCAGGAATTTACAGAAATTTCATATCCATGCCACACAGCAAAAACGACGTATGACTTCAACATCCGCTTAATAATTTTACCTATTGGAGAAGCGCGGAATGACCATGTCTTTTTACACTAAAAATAAAGGATGTGACTTGATTTGGACCCAGTAGCGGATATCACCAGTCAGGTAATGTAGATTTGTCATGGATAGGATGAGAGAGGCGGAAAAGGTCTGTTGAAAAAAAAGGTCAAACCTAAACGACAGAAAATTCGTATTTAATACAATGAATATACCTAAATTTTCTTATTTTCAAAATATATCAGGAAAAACGGAGTAAAGCAAATTCAAGATTAACCAAGAGATTCTGTAAGGATATCATCAAAGTGCGCATACCATGAAACGTGCCGTACTAGTGCATCCTACACGAAAGGGTAAAACACGATTAGAATTTCAGCAATATTGGAATTATTTAGTAACAGTGAATTAGTTGTTATTACTTCTTTTCTGTATTACTTAATTAGCTTCAATTGTTACAAGCATTTTGTCAGAGGCTTAAAAATTCGATACAAGTTACTTGCTTGTAGGCTACACGTAATATGAGAAGAGAAATGAGAGCCAAATAATGACAATCTTCGGGTGAAAAGTACCGCGAAGAGAGAAGAGAGGAGAGGGAAGTCGTCGAAAAAAATTTTTTGCAACGAATGTGGTGAATTCGTTTTTTTAAACAAATAAAATTCCCACATATTCCAGCAGTCGACATCACTTATCGATCAAACCAGTCGATATCTGAGGCAACAAAAAAGCTATCAAAGTTTCGTTTATTTTTGCTGGGACTAGTAGTTCCGCTCCAGCGCTGCCCTATTCATTTTTTTGATGAAAGCTCATAGAAAATTATAAAACAGATTAAATCAGCAGATTACTTACTGAATTGCATGTAATCAGTGTCAATTAAACAACTCCCATCTAAATTTTTAAAAGTCATGGACAGTTGGAAGTTCGGCGCGGTCATCTGAAAAACTGAATTTTTTAAAGGGATCGCTGTCCCGTCACAACGAATAACTAAGGAACGAAATAAAGTGGAATTGAAATGAGGGAGAAAGAGAGTTATGTTGTCATAGGGATCTTGGCGAAATGACTCTCGTCAACCTGTCAACTATTAATAGTAATGACAATATTTTTTGATAATATTTAGTCATAAGAAAAGGAAACCTTTCTGGGAGTGCGCTAGGAAAGTGAAAAGAAAAGGAAAAGGACACTGCGATGGATTTTGAATTTAAATTTATTTTCCACATTTACATAAACGCATTAGTATTAGTGCTGTCGCCACTATTACTCACTTGTTCATAATGTTATTATTGCCTATAACCGCAACTTCTATTAGTGAGGGGCGGAATTTCATTAAAGGGAAAAAAGGAGGTGAAAATGAGGAGTATACTTTCAAAATCATTCCTCCTTGAAGTTTTAAAAAGAGGATGGGAGGATGGGAAGGAAAGTGGCTGTCAACTAACCATAACGAAGCTGTCGATGTGACACAATGGGATCTATCGGTCGATTCTGCTCACTTCTTTTATCAAACACCTCGGATTGAATAAGTGAGGACTGCTAGCAGTAGAATTGTACGAGAGAACCCAGTTCTCTTGGCCCGCTGGTGAAGAAGAGAGTCTTGGAAGTCGGTGGGAGGAAAAGTGTCGGGTATTATCAGAATGGAACGCATTAAGGAAGGAAAGGAAGGGACGACACTGGGCCTGTCACTATGTGCAGCGCTCCTCGTCTCCCTTAAGTCATACTAGGCCTGGACCTCCATGGGCAGGCACTTCTCTGGCCATGCCTACTCCCTCGCCCTTCTCTCTTCTATTCTCCTCGCTCCTCACTCTCTCTATATATGTGTGTGTCTGCATTATTTCTGATCAGAGAAGACGAGCTGAGATTCGAAGACACACACACCCACACCACATCTCTCATTTCGTGTCGAGGTACTGGGAGAAGAGAGCGCAGGACGGAAAATGTCAATCGGAACATCGTTACGTGCGGTGGCGGTTGGGGATGGAGGCGAGTGTCATCATTCCCTTTGGCTCGTCGACGACTGTCATTTCTCCCGCATCCAACCTGTCACTTTATGCTTGGCTGTGCTTTCGGTACTTCTTTCCTCGATGAATATACATTTGCTTTCATCTGATTCTATATTCTAAACTTGCAAGGTGAAGGTTTGACGTAAAACAGCTCAAATGAACCGGATTATGATCCGATTCTGGATTGATCTCAATACGGCTGAAGCATAGTTTCCATTCTTCCTTTACTGCTTTCCGTTCATACCAATCCATTCATTCATTTTAAAGTGGGTATGAGTTTGCGGATTAAGTGCTTAAGCAAGTTTGTTTTCTTCGCAGACCTTGAAGCGCTGTCAGTCGCTATCCAGTACAATACTGCCCTCTCACGAGGTTAAAATAGTGAGTTGGGCAAGCAGTATCTGTTCTTGCTTCTAACACATCTAAACAGCCACTCAGTCTGTAATAATTCCACTTCACTGAATAACATTTGCACTTACATATCTGAGTATGAAACAATTAAGGAAGCCAAGACGTGCTGTGGAAAGATTTCGGAAAAGCGGAAAGAAATCGCATTCAACTGCGTATCAGATTTTAATTCATTTTATATAAATGCATAGAATTGGTATTCCGATGTCTCTTTCCGGAACACTTGAGCTTTCCTGAAATGATAGGTGATGTGTGAATTCTCTTGCTCATCGCAGCACTTTTATCGACGATTTTGTTTATTAACGAATTACATCTGATAAGAATCAGTTATTACCGATTTCGCTGTAATCTTTGATGAATTTGTTTCAGAGAAAGATTACTTCCCTTGATGATCCCACACATAGCAGTGGAATGGACTAAATTGGTTGGTTTCATCTGGCTACAAATGATAATACCAACCTTTTTGTGACCTTCTAAGACACTCTCCTGCTTTCCATACAAGTCAAAACCTGAGGACAAATGAATGTTATTAGCATCCATTTGCATTCTTCTGTTTCTTCTGATGATCCATGATACATCAGCTATAATCAGTCATTCAGCTAAAACCAAGACTCAAAGGATCGCATATCTGAATATTTGAGTGACTCATAGCTTGCGTACGAGTGCCACCAAATGTAGAGGTTTCTAATACGACGTTAACTCTGAAAGATGTCGCTTTCCCACAACAAACTTGCCGGGATATTCTCATCGGTATGTGCATCGGCACAAACTAGCGTTAAAGTTACATTATGAATCATGTAATTTGCAGAATTCTAATTTTTCGGAATTTAGATGCTAACAGGTTTTTTAATTTTAACTATCTTTTGACAGTATACTTTTGACCTAATCGATTTTCATAGCGTACTTCGAAGAGATCTTAACTCTGAATTCAATTTCTGATGCAATGAATCAAATGCAGATGCCAGTGTCACAATCTACCCACCACTGATCATAGATATCCCTTGATTATCCCCGTGCCTTCTCACACAATCCATTCATTCATTTATTATTAGTCACTCTTATCTCTCGCGCGTTCACAAAGTATCTATCATCTTTCATCCATCCATTCACCGACAAAACATTTTCTCTTGCTTCGATTAGTATCAAAAGGTCACCTTCCAAGTGAGAGGTAAAAGAGAGAAAAGAGAGTGCGTACTGCTCCTTCCTGTGTGCTGCAGCTCGAAGAATAGTTCACAGTGAATCGAAAGATTCCAAAGGAATTTGGAAGTCCGTCATTTATGTTCTTTCATTTCCATTTCGTTCTCTCTGCAAAGAACAGATTTGAGAACAAATTTCCTCTTAGTTCGATCCCTTCCTACCAACATTCCCCGTCAACCCCTGATCGACCGACCTCCCTCAACGCATGTGCATGTAAGCGCCTCTGAAGGAATGTAAATGCACACTCTGGGCGGAATGGATGAGAACGTTGTTATGGGTATGACTCATTAAATACCTTTCTTCCTGCCATCTATCCGTGTATCGCACATTTAATATATTTGCTTTCCCAAAGCTCTTAGCGAAGGGCTGGAGTTGAAAAGGTTATCCTTAAGGTGTTCCTGATTCATTAGTTGATACTGATTTCTGATTTGTAGATTTGAACAGGGACTTTTGCTTGTTAACATTTGTTAGGAACTTTGACGAAGTGTACTTCTTAGGATGAAATACATCTTTTGCTGATGAAAATGGGTTCTCATTTAAAATGATAAAATGGAAATGAGTGGGAATTGGGAAGATGAAGTAACAATGATGATAAGTGCAGGAAAAAAAGATTTCAAGCTGTCTGACCAGGAACATGACCAGAAAAATCAGAAGACTGCAAATTCGTCACAAGACTGCAAATCACTGAGGAAAATTAAGATTGACAACCGGAATCTTTTCCGACCGCAAAATACTCCCTTTTGTCTTAGTTTGTCCCATAATCCAGTAATTGATACAAAACAAGAAACTCGCACATATAAAATGACCGTAGCTAATGTCATCCAATCAAGATTTGATAACTGCCATTGAACCCAAATGAACTCATTCTTGTAGCTATGGTTGAATGCGAAATTCTGACGCGTGCGTATTTGTGATATATATGTGTGTGGATGTGCGTGTGTTTATGTGTATTGTATTAGTGTGTTAGTTGAAGGAAGCATAGATGATTGTGACATAAAATTTTCGAAGTACTTGCTGATAGATTTGGATATTCCTAATAAGCATCTCTGGATTTAGCCACATAACACAAAGATACCTGAAAATATCCGTGGAGATTAGCTGAAAAGGACAGTCGTCATATTATTTGGTGTCACAAAGGACAGCTTATCGTATTCATTACGGACTTTTGGATTCATTAAGTTATATCAGTTAAACATATATAGAAAGGGCCGGTGACTGAAACTTTAGAGCAGGCGTGGCATTCATAATCATTTACTATCCGAGAGCTTTAGCGATGACTAAGCGAGCAGAGATCGATTTGACTGATACCTATCGGGGCACTGGAACTATTAGCTGTTAAAGACTCGAACCAATGTTCGAAAGTTGAGTTGAGAATCAAATTAACTGGTGTAACAAAGCGGATCCTCGAAGTTTTGACTTTTTATGAAAATGGGATGACGAACACGATTTATTTCGCTTTTTGTCTTAAATAAATCATCTTTATAGTTCCATACACATAGTTTTTATCTTTATTTCAGGTCAGAGGTCAGACTAATGACATATGCAAAATGATGGTGTAGCAATAAAAGTTAGCCAATAACCCCGAGAGGAACTGAATCAAAACTAAAATTAGCTTCATGACCTACTCCATTCTCCTTAACATAGTGCGATGTAATAAATAGCCTGGTGCATACGTCATTGTTTTGTATATAATGGCCTGGGGTTTGAACCACTCAAAGAGAGTACAAAGATGTTAATATAAATTCGAAATTTATTTTTTTTTTTTTGAAATTTGTATAGTTAACTTGGAGCAAACGAATTACGAAACAAGAAATATTGACAGTTTCCATACTGCGAGAAAAGCGAATTCAATCAACAAGGACGTCAACCACTAGTCTAAATTTAAGTCATTAATCAACACAGTCGTTAATCATTATTCAACACGAATGTTAACAACTAGCGTAAGTTCAACTCATTCAAACTACCTTATTAAATGTTCGAAACATATGCAAGTCGAAATGGTAAAGTTTTTTGATTGTTGGTTTCACTGAAAACTTGATTTGATGCTAGCTAGGAATGCACTGTTTTTTCTCTGCTTGACTACCTGGTCAGTTTGTTAGCTAGCCGATGGAAAGATCAGTGGTGAAGGCTGCAACGTTCCTTCAGAGCCTGCGCCATTGCAGCTAGTTTATCATATCGTTTCTCAATATTCATCGGAAGGCCTTTCGATCCAAACAACACTTTCAGACTAAATTCTGTGCTTAGGAAGTTCTCGCCGTGGGATATCTCTTCCTTGCATAAATTCGAATTGTTTGCATCCAGCTGGACAGCTCTTTTGACCCAATGTCGACCTTCTTGAAGCCATTTCCACAAATTATCTAAAATGTTTTTGTTAGACTCGCGAGTGCTTTTTCTTAATCACTGTGTATCACGTGTGTAAAAACTGACGGTCACAACAGATATGAAAGTTAGAGTAATAAAGTAAGCTTAAAATATCTGGACATAGCAAACGCAGCCATCTAAGTGAAACAACATATTTAATGCGCAAAATTGCATCACATAATAGAATGCCACGTACTTCGGAAAAACTTACCCACTTCTGTTGCCCACGTCATAGCGTTGCACGTATCATCGAGGGAAAAAGGGTTATTTGAAAAAATGTTGAGGAGTGGTTGCATAAATGGTATGTTTATTTGTGGATAGCTAAGTGGTAATGGTTCACACCGGTGCAATCTGTATGCTACCAATTCCAGCTCTTGCTGCAATGTCCACGTGTACTCTTCGGAAAGAACAGATTTTACCTGCAGTACTTAATTATTGATTTTATTTAATTATACTAGAATGCAATAAATCAGAAAAAGCAGTAAATTGAACTAAAATGTATACAAAATGAAGAAACCAGTAATGAAGCGTCCCTCTTTAATATTTCAGCCTCAATCGTCTGAAGCTACAAACTGCTCTGGCATTAGATGAGTAGTAGTGCCCACTTTTGAGAGGATCCCCATATACAATTCCGGAAGAAATACGTGAAGAGAGTGCAGGCTTTGTGAAACATATAGTTGGTCATTTCAAGCAAGCTAACTGGAATTGCGACAAGAATTATAACCATGTATGTTTGCAGGAAAGTACCTTGCGACAGGATTTGAAATTTCAATTTCTGGCAGTAAAAACTGCTTCCCACGGCATGACGTTCTGACTGACAGAGCTTCTACCTGGAAGTCTGCTCGGTTGCCTTCATCCATTACGGATATTTCGCAGTGACTAAGAATTCAAATCAGACTATAGTAATATAGCAGCAGGAACGCATGAGTTAATAAATTCGAAATTAAATTTTGAAACTTACGAGATCTGAACATAATGCGTCGAGAAGCGTAAGGATGGAAAATGCATTACCAAACTGATAAAGTAAGGCACGAGCAATTTGCACCCAGGCGTTATATATGGCCCAACGTTGAGTACATTGGGCCTGGTGCAATATGGACAAAATGCACAAATAATGCAACGAACGCTGTCTGCAACTGTGAAGATTTTTGAGAGGGGAATTACCGCCCAAATTTTACCTATCAGTTTGACCTATTAAGTTTTACCTATCGCAGAAAACCTCTAGAATCACTGGTGTCCTCGCATTAAATCAAAAATAACTGCAATCGTAAAAGTATGAATAGTCCGGTTGCATCCAGTTCCGGTCTCGTTTGCAGGATATTTGCTATTATAGCGACAGGATGATGCATATAGTGATAAGGATGAATAGATATACATAACAAAGAAATGAATGTAATATTCTTCTGATACCTGATATGATATGGAAATGTTCAAATGAATCAATCAACCTTTCCAGGAGATCATTCCGCACATTTTCTCCATGTGGCAACAAAATAAGTAATAATCCATTTAACTGTTCGAATTTCGCTGCTTCCTATAAATTAAGAAAAACGGTAAGAAATGAAATTAACACTTCTTATTACAATTGAAATGAGCAAATTTGGTCGAAAGAACAGAATGAAAGTTAAAACTGCAGCATTTGAATAAAGAGATCTAAAAGTAAACTGAATGGTTTTTGATCAGTCTGCAAATCAAACATTAACATTGCTGAGGACAAACCAGAGACGGCCTAACGTAGGCCTTCAAGAAATGACTTGCTGCTTTGATCAGGTATTTTTCGTTTACCTCAGTAGTCAGACTATAAGCAATTAAATTTCTTGGTAAATGCTTCGCAATATTTTCGGCGAAACTTATCTTGAGCGGTATATTCAGGTTTCTTCATTTACCTTGATTGGTGCCCGCAAGTTTTTTCCAAGTCTTAGTAATCGATAATCTTCAGTAGTTATTAGCTGAGCGCAACTTTCCGGTTTCTTCGTTAACAGCAGCTGTCTGAAATAAGGCGGTAATAAACTTTTGGCTTTTATCAATCAACTGCATTTACGAATAGTTGGGTTTGAAAAGTAGCAAACTTAGACCTGAGATTGTTTCTTTGGTGATGTCAAAAAGAACTGAAATTTAAAGTGTGAGCGCAACTTGCCAGACATCTAATTAGAAGATTAGATCTAAGAAGTGAATGAAATCAATAATGACAGTACTGATTGGCAAAATCACCGGGTATCCTTTTCACATCTCAAAAAAAAAAAATGCGATCACCAACCTGAATTTTTCCAATAGCTCTTCTGTTTGGGGTTTATTATTGGGTTCGATAAATGGTGATCGATAATTATGCAAATTGGTAGCGGATATGGCTGCACATGCCCTTGGTCGATCATAGTCGTGGTTACCTGGCATACGCCAATGCAGATTGCTGATTTCAATGCAATACGCAGATGTGCCTGGCGATAATGCGCTATTTGAATCTGTCAGCTCGCTACGTGCTGAATTTAATGAGGTGAATGACAATTTGTGGTCCTGATAACACAACTTTGACTTTGACGGGCTTACAACTTCTGGAACGGTCGACGCTGCAATGGTCGCCTTTTCCATAGCATCGTAATCTATTTCAGAGTACTGAAATTTGAAAGAGTAAAATTTACAAAGTGAAAATGAAATTTTAAGAATTCCTTGAAAGTTTAACTTGTTTCTTGCATCGAAAATCTTAATTCAAGATGAGGTAGAATTTTTCATTTGGAAAGTGGAATTCTAAGGTTTACTTCATTTTTATCTTCCTTAACAGGTGATCCAATTGGTCTTGGTAATGGTCGACTGAGCAAATCCGATAACGAGAAATGTGGTTTATCGTTAGATGGTACCAGTGAAGCAGGTGATGATGGTTGCCCTGCTTTTAACTGCAACTGTTTTCGTGTTTCGTTTGATAGAACCTTTTGAGTCAACGATCGCTCTTGACCTGAAATGTTTTTAAATTGCTCATCTTGATGGATCTGGGAACTCCGAATTCCAAAATTTTGCCCAGAATGAGAAATATTTATATGTTCCTGACCGATCATATGCAAAGTGTTGCCAGGGAATTTAAGACTGCATACAAAGTTGGCACGAAATTCACAAGTGAAAATTTACCACACGTTGTCAATATTAATAAACTCACCAGATTTAAACATTCGTGGTCGGAGGACTTTCATATATTTTTGATCAATTTGAAGTTATGGCTTAAAATTGTAAGTCGCGAAAAATGTCGTATTAGGTACGGGATTTTTTATAATGCAACCACTAGTCCGAGTGATTGGCTTGTTATGTGCCTGATAAAATGTCACCAAATCTGGTATATTTTCGAATTGCTCCTCTTCGAACTGCAAGCAATTATTTTGCAAATACAATCATAACTACTGAGCAATTCATCTCCCATGACTTTTCCAGGACCCTACTTTATTCTTGTTTATTAATCTCTCCTGAAACTTGTCCAGTGCAAAATTTAAACAGCAGTTTAGTGATGAAATGATGAAGACTCCCATTTTTATGAAACAAAGACTAACTGACTCAAGAAGAATTGAAGAAAGATTAGACAGTTGCTGAATAATTTTGAGGATCACCTAAGCAAAATGTTTTAATCTCTACAAGTGAATGTACTTTTGTTCCACGGCACACGGCACTGCGTCTTCTTAAAGCGCAGGAATGAATTTATTTTTTTTTTTTATACAAAGGTTAACGCTACTTGCGGGAAGACAAAACGATTTGCAGTTCTTCCGTTCTGCTCATATATATATATATATATATATATATATATATATATATATATATATGAAAGCCCGATCCAAAAATTAATTTATAATTTTCAGAAATTTATGCAAACCTGAAAAAAAAATCCACTTGAGCTGAAAGGTGACATATCTTTGTTAATTTGAAAATGCACGACGCGTCCATTCCAAAATACTGTTAACACAAAATCGCCTTTGAATGAAATGCTATCACGAACCTGTGATAAAAGCGAATGAAGGTGGGAGAACTGTTCTTTAGAACTTCAACTTTCTTTGTCTATTTGAGGGATTGTTCGAAATTTGACTCTCAAAAATCTTTTGAATTTGAATCTAAAAGACTGTAGCGTTCAGTAACTAGTAATATTTAACTAGTAATCAACAGTTCAGTGTATTTCTAAGGCACTTTCACTTTATCGATGTGTTTGAGAATAAGTCAAAATTCAGACTGAAGCTTGAAATTATCTTTTTAAAAAATCAATTGTTTCACTGGATTTTTTGCAAATACTTGTATTCAATTCGAGTAAGAGAATTGAAAGTACCTGAGTATAAATATGATTTATGCATCATTTGTCATACACTAATGGAAGAACAGTTTGTCTTTACAAGTGGACCTTCCTTCAAAGTTACATCTATCCATCTGTCTTAAGAACAGGTTTTTATATCCAAAGTCGATGTGTATCACTAATTAACGTCCATGCAGGAAGATAGCATCTTCAAGTATACTTACTAAAAAATCTCCTTCGGATTGAACAAGACATTCGGATCGAAACCTGGTCAGCAAACCGTGGTACCAAGATTCCAATCGTAAAACGGCTTCTTGAGAGGGACGTGGTATATCGTATGTTGGCATAACTATTGCACCAAGTGATATTTGCTGAAATTGAGAAGTTTCGAAAATGAAAAGTTTTCGCAAATTTGTTGCCGTACTTTAATAGCTGCACGAAGCACGTTAAGAAGCGAATAAGAATTGCAAATACAGCAGATCAAACACTGTAACGTCTCATTAAATTAATTTCTAACTAAAAGTGTCTCAACTTCTTTATATTTCTTACATCTGTATATCCACGTCGTGTGATTAGAGTTACTACTGTTGGATGTAGCAAGATGGGAGAACCATAGGCAAACAATCTGATATAAACAGACAGAAAGAGTGGATAACAAACAAAACAGCTCCAGGCTTTCCTTTCTTCGAATAAATTACCTTCCGTTACATTCTCTGTTCATTGGAACTCAGTTGGTGATAAGAACTGGAAGAGGTCCCTGTTATCAGTTAGATGATAATGTCCAATTATTGTTTAGCAGTGTTGCAATGAATCGTCGTACCCATTTGAGGCTATCACTGCTGAATGCGGATGTTATCAAAAATAGAGCAGCAATAGGTTCACCGGTAATTCAGAAAATATAACCGGTTTCAATAAGAAAAACATAAAGCATCGAATATTTATTTGTACTAAGATTTTATTCATACCAAGGAATTTGGATTTCTTACCGAATCCTCAAATTGAGTATAATGAAATTATTGCTAGGATATGTTAAACAGAAATCATAACTCAACGTAGTCAATCCATCATTCCAGATTCGTTGTTCAAAATAATTATTCGGATTGGTTAAGCTTATAATAAAGTCGCAGTTTCGAATCATTACTCAGACGTCTTTAATTGCAAAATTTAAGGGTTGGAAAATTTGTTCGATCACTACAGGGTTGTCTGATCAAAAAAGAAAAAAGCAGCAGGCTGATATTTACCAAATCCAAGAAAGTTGGAGAGGAACCCTGAATCGAATCAGAATCAATCCGTCGTAGAGTATTTAATAATAGGTATTGGACAAAGCCAGTTCTTGTAAATACATAGTTAAAGAAAGAAATCGAATTCATTCCCGAAGAGTTCTCTAAATGGAAATTCGGCTAAAAAAATAAGTTTGAATGAGCAGGAATGAAAGGATATGTTCAGTAGCGGCAGTGTCGATTTTTTACGAATCTGGGAAGGAAAAGGTTCGTTGGAATGTTTGCTGATTAACAGCGATGCTTGCTGGGTGAAAAAGGCAGTAGTAGCATCGAAATGAAAAAGGAGGAAGCTTTTATGCCATTCCTAAAATTTCTCTACTACAAATGGTATTCTCGAGCATCAAAATATCGTACTTTGTTCTTTTCTGCATTTCGCTTCATGCATTCAGCGAAATGGAATGGAATGACGGCCCAGCTTGATTGAGTCTAACTTGCAGCCTGAACCTTACTGCGCAATCTGTCACTTTTTCGTTTCTGTGTGATGAAGCCAGAAGCCATGCTTAAAAGAATTATTTGTGCTCAACCTTTGATGCAAATTCCATCATTTACATTGTAAATTTTGTTTTGGAATAATTTGAATAAAAATTCAGAATATGAAATCTCATAAAGCGCTCAGTTAAAAAAATTTGTTTGCAAAAACCATCCCTTAGTTTCATAATACAAGCATGTGTACTTTCGTGCATGCAATCTAGCGTTCATCTAACTATGTATAGCACTCCTACCACTTGCATGTGGCAAATGCGTCTAAAACTTTTTTATTCATATTATTAGACACATTATCAGTGTACTTTAGGTATGTCACAGCAATAATCTATTGAACAAACATCACAATGTAGGCTTGTTCAGTGCATCGAGAAAAGTCAAAAGGCGTCAGTCGGCTCTGTCATCGAGGTGAAAAGTTACCCAGAAATGAACGAAAACTCGAAAGAAGAAACAGATAAGCTATGCTTGACCATGTACAATCAGCTTTTCGTGCCATCACTTTCGGTCTCTGTCCTGCCGCAGTGACTCACAGTTTCGAATGGATAAAACACTTGCGACAACATGCGACAGTATTGAAACCATTTCTTCGTCCACCCAATGTGTAATACACCTTTGACGTTTTTGAAATATTTTCCTGTTTGGGAATTGATAGCTCAAAAAATGATAATAATATCAGCATTTTAGGCTGTGAGGTAAAGGGTCATTGAGGGGACAAGTGGGAAGAAGCGAGAATTGTAGAGAAATACGAAATAGGGAAAGTAAAGAGAAAGAAGGGAATGTGATATGCAGACGAACATAATTGAGAAAATAAAAGGTATTAAGAGTGGAGGCGAATTGATAGTGACGAGCACTTGTTGTGGGTTAGCAGACACGCGTACGCCGTCACTCCAAGCAATGTTGCAGGAAGGACGATTGTCAACTGTGGGCCTTTTCCACCATCCTGTGAACATGTAAACAATCTCTTTTCTTTAGAGATGACATGAAATGAGAACAGAACAGAACGGATTCGTGTATCGTGGTTATTAGCGAATAAAAATCATTACAACAGACTCATTCTCAATACATTCAAAAACAAACACATGATCCGTGACGAGTATAAGAAGTGAGTTCATTACCACTGGTTTATCTTCAATACCTGTTCCTTTGTCCTCCTATGTATTTGACGGATAAACCACATTTTTCATTCACAAACAAACAGTCTGCAATTATTCCCTTTATTTCGCAGTTCGATATTCTTAATTTCTGTCATTTTCAATCTGAATATACCTAGTCTGTTAATCAAGTTCCGGCTTTGACGAACACTTACTTCCCTCTACCAAAAAGGTTTCAAAGTTATCCTTAGCAAGAAAATATCTCTCTGAAAGTCAACACTGACTCATCTGCTTTCACCCGATTTGATAATGCAGTGTTTGAAAAGAAAGAAAGAAGACATAGCGTAAGACTGATTCTAAGTTCATCCTTGAATCTCATTAGAAGTTCTAAATCTACATCAAATGACTTAGTAATATGTTTGCTTCTGGTAAGTAAATCCCAGTGCGAGGAAGAAAATGAAATTGCAAGGTAGTACTACTTCTATGCGATTACTTATAGAAAATAGGAGGGATTTCATCTTGCTATCGTACTCCGGATCCTAATTTCCATTGTAAGCTCGTTTATCCAGTCCATCAATAATCTTTGAACTATTGCTTGTTTTTTGCATTCATTTCAACTCGCAACAGACTGGCTTCCTTAAACTTCCCAAAACAACAGCTATATCGCTCACTCCAAACATGTGCTATATATACGTCCATGAAAATCTTGATGATCATAGATTGCCAAATTTGGCATTATTCTCAACTTCTTTTTTCTTTCATTACTCTCGATTACCGTCAGTTTGGAGGCTGTCTGAAATTTCGTCCGTCACATATAACTTTAAAATGAGTATCTAAACCACAAGGTTTATCGACAACTTATTCATTGAGAAAAACTCACCCATCATTTCCATCATTTCAAACTGTTTCCTTCGACAGCTCCATCATGCTTACACACACTCATTAATACCGACGTCACTGTCCACTGTTACATATAAGTGCTGACCCCACTCCTTTCCCCTGAGGGAGCTTTTAGCTTAATCTGAATTACGGCCATGTCCAGAGTGACCGTTATCTTTTGAGGGAGATTTTGCACTTTTTCCCAGTACATAGATTCCATAAAACTTCCATATAATTTTCCAGGGGTTTGTCGATTCCCTTTTATTATTACATCAATTATTCCTTTCCTGAGTGAACTATTAGCTTGATCTCAACTGCCGCATTATACTTGTCTTTGACCATAACTTCTTCAGACTGGCGTTTTCCATACACAAAAATCCCCTCAAACTGCTAATTACAAAGAGGATTAAAAAAAAAAAACTTTTATATACACGTATTGTCGACTGAAATCATTACATGGACTGCTGTTTAATGAAATGTTCAGGTTGAACGCTGTTCCCTGTTCATTCTCGTTTACAAGTAATACCTCTTATGTTCGCTGTCTTCCAAATGAGTGTAATGACGAGTGATGACTGCTTCTTATTTCCGCTCGTACAAAACTGATCGAAGGATTTTGCAAATTTCCAAAATTCCTGCAGTAGTAACCGAATAGAAGAAAGAGTATAACCATCTTAACACTTTACACACAAATGGTGTTTGGTCTGTGGCTCAATTCAAATTACAAGCAGCAAAAAACCGACTACTGTTTTTGTCGGATGATACATTCTGGGCTGTTACATAAGCTTTGTTCATTGGAGTCATCGGCAATGTGCAGAATTTCCGGAACATTTCAGGTTCGAAGAGCCATTCCAGAATGTATTTGGTTCCATGTCATTGGCGTTGTTGAGCTGTTTAATTTTTCCAAATACCATTATCCAGTTCAGTTTCAAATTTATTCACTCCCAGATTGTTGTAATTATTGCTGTGACGAAGGTAGCATTATCTTCTACCCGATACTAAGAACCAATCGATTTGAATAACTTTTAAAAGAATCGTACTTTGCAGTGAAAGAATTGAGATCGGTTTTTGTGAGCAACAATAGTGCAGTGAAAGGTCCATATATCGTCAGTCCATTTTTCTTGCCAGATCTATTCATTCTACTCATTCATGGAAAAGATAAATAGATTGTTTAATTGTTGAGAAAGCAGTGTGATGAGAAAATGTTAGATAAAATCCGTGTTTTGTGGCTGTGTTGGCGGTGAATGGGGATTCATTAGAATTATTTTGTTTGCGAGAGAGTATCAGTAGATGGAAATGCTCATGCCTTTTGCCGGGATGTCCATACGTGTCTCCTTCCTAGTATTTCCCCGTGTTGAGTTTCTTAAGCTGATTTCATTTGAATCTCGAATTATACGCTTATTGGAAAATGTCTAAAAGTCCTGACTCTTCTTACTCCTACCAAACTTTTTTCTAAAGCAGCTATCAAACTTGATTACAGTGATAACGATCTCCGCGTGGCTGCGCATCTTCTTTCTACACATCTGCTTTTGACATAATTTATAATGAAATTAAAAAAATTTTTGTCTTTGTGCGAAATAAAGAAATGCTCGCCAGACTAAAAGTCCCTCGCCTATCCTTTACCACAGGAAATATTTTACTTATGTAAGTCTTCAAATAATCTGCGTACAAAGAGTGTTCTCTTGAGATCCATTCTTTTTTATTTTCAAAAGTAAAAAGAAAAAAAGAAAATGCCTCTGCTTATGGCAATTACTGGGTAAGAATGAAATCAAGTACCCAACACGCCAACTTTTGGTCTCCCTTCCCTCCTTCAGTCGTTATGATCCCCATAAAAAGATCAAATCAGGCAGTAGTTTTCCAGAATAGTCAGAATTGCCATTTGGTCTCTGCCTCGAAAAAATCAGCGAACAGGCTAACAGTGCATATTTTCAGACTTTTGACATTCCCTGACGGCTTCATGTGCCAGCTGCAGTTCTCGGCATTTTTCAAATGTTTAATTCCGAAGTAATTTTCATCCCGAGATACCATTATGTCCCTTTGTTTGATTCCAAATTTGAAGTTCTCTACTTCACAATTATCATTAACGACCCAGCACACTTTCCAACTGATCTGTTCCTAAAATGACGTAATCTAAGTTTGTCCGCAAAGAGATTTTCACAGTTGATTCTAACAGTGTCCCTTTCCCTATTAGGTATGTTAATCGTGACATACTGTTTGTCTTCACTTCTTTGAAACATCAAAATTAGAGAACTTTTCCATTCCCATCAATTTTCTTCGCATTAAGTAGATCCATCGATATTTATTCGACTGAAACAAACAGCTCTGAGAAAATCCCATGAACTTTTGAGTTTAGCCATATAAACAAAAGGATAAATGAGAGACGTAAGGTAAAATAACTACTATTTCAGTTCGCAAATGGAAGGATGCAGAAAAAAACTGCTTTCAGTGATAAGGTAATGGAGGATGATGCTTTTGTGATCTGCTCAGAAAGTTATCGAACCAAGCGCGATTAAGCTGAATCTTGCGCGGCGAAACGCTGAAACATAGGAATGACTGGAAGAGATTACGACCTATCTAAGTATGTTAGGGTCATTACGCACGCAAACCAGGTCAGAATTCCTAAGAATTTCTACCAACAAAATGAAATTCACGACGTTCCAGATGACATACAATTTCCGGTGAGAAGTGGGATGACTTTGCCCATCGTTTGAATTTGCAAGAGCATTGTTAATTCAAATAAGCTATATACAAACTAGAGGTCAAACAGTAATCAACCGATGTTCTAAATAGAAACAATACGATTAAGGGATGCTTACAAAATGGACTGTAAAGGACAATTCTGGAAGAGATGGAGAGAACTGGCGAAATACAAATGACAGCAGACACACACTGAAACACCAAGGGTGTCGCCACAATGGCGAAGCTATAACC